GTAAGTGGCTACGGAAGAGAACCCCTAATGCCTAATTTGAATTAAGGTCACTTTTGGTCGGATTTCTTGTTAGGTAGTACCTACAAACAGTAAGAGGTGGGTCTAGCAAGGGACCGGGGTAAAGCAAGGGAAACGCATTTCCATGGCTACCTGTTTGATTATCCCCTTCAGTTTCCTAGAACCGCGTATCCAAGAAGGGTTCTGGGACCTATTATTTGGCTAAAATTAATTTTGTCATGTTGGTAAAACTAGCCTTTTGACTTAAGAAACTAACGTGGAGCTATTGGCTAGAACGGCTTTAATCTTTCGCTAGTAACACGTTAAGAGAAAGTATCAAAACGAAGGAAGCAAATAATGCGTTAAAATGGGCATCGCATTGTTTAGGTACGTCACGCAAATAGGAAGCAGCGGTTTGTAGCTTTCCTCATTTGGCTTCAGAGCTCCGCAAAATGTGTGCTAGGTTCCTAGTGGTGGTAGTAAAAATAATATTCACTCTGATGTTAGTCGCGAGTCGGGTATTCCATTCTATCTGTCAGTACCTCTCGCACAGCAGTAGCAGTCGGTCCCACTAGTCGTTGCTCCATTAGCAGCAGTAACACCATAGTATTGGTATTAGTAGCCGTAGTAGTAGGAGTAGGTTCTGTAGAATGAGATTGTGTTTTGTGATGACTCAACGTTTCCCAACGGGGTAGGGTTCCGTGCTGTGTGGGGTACGACGAGCGGTGACGATAAGAGTTCAACCAACAGCTTTTATTTATAATATGTTGTAGGTACCCTCAACATAGCGCGAGAGAGAGAAAGGAAATTGCAGAATGGCAGTTTAATGCCATTGGAAAGGGGGTTTTAAGTGTTTTTCAATTAATTGAAAGGGTTGATTCATTTGTCGTGCCTGACCGGGCAGGATAAATTAGTAGGACTAATTGCAAAATGATTAAACGTTATTTTTAGATGGGTAAAGCTAGTGTTTTGATTTTGAATTGGTTTGGTTGAATAATTGATTCTTGATTTTTACATAAATAATAAATGGTAGCGGATAATAGACTTTCAACATAATTTTCTAGAAGTTTTACTATCGTTATACGCATAACTTTCCAATGTTCTATACAATCCTGATGAGCCGTGGGACTCTAAGGCGTATACCGGTAGAATATTGAAGGTTCAAACATTTAATTTGGTACAGAACTTTTTTTAAATTGTCGTGAAACTTTTTTTTCAAGAAACTCATGTTTATACAAAACTTTTATCCTACACAATATTCCACACAGCACAAAAATCATGTAATATAAATATGGTGTAATATTAATTTCCAAAAAGGACGAAATTATCATTACGCTATTTATACTGTATTTGTTTATTTTTGTGGCCATAAAAATTACATGACATTTTCGACAGATTGAAGTGCATCCTCTTGGATGTAATCATAAAATTTATTTTTTGCTTCGCATAGACTTTGATGAATGAATTGAATGAGAATTTCTAAAAAAACTCCAGCGATAATTTAAAGGGAATTCGGAAGAGATTTTCAAAGAAGTTCTGGAATGAATTGTGAGGATAACTTCTAGTCAAATATCTGAGGATTGCTTTCAAAATAGTTCTGATAAACTTCAGATTCCAGGGGAAACCACAGGAGAATTCTAAGGCAAATTTAAGTAGAATTACAAGGGAATCCTAAATAAGATTCAAAGGAAATTTGAACAAAAGTTCTGAAGTTAATTTCTAATGAATCCTGAGGAAATTTTCTACAGAATTCTGGGGATAATTTCTTGATGATTTTGAAAAGAATTTCTTGGAAGTTTATTCCCTTCGTAGTTAAGTTTGTGGGGCCTCCCTTAGCTCAGTCGGTAAAGACGCAGCTACAAAGCAAGACCATGCTGGAGGTGGCTGGATTCGATTCCCGGTCCGGTCTAGGATTTGTTCGGGTTGGGAAATGTCTCGACTTCCCTGGGCATAGAGTATGATTGTACTTGCCACACAATTATACTAATGCAAAAATGGTACAGGCATCGAAAGCTATCAATTAATAACTGTAGAAGTGCATCTAGAACACTGAGTTGAGAGCACGCAATAAGCTAATATGCGATATGCAATAAGCTTGAAATGCGAAAAAGAAGAAGTTAAGTTAGTTAATGTTAATGTTTTGGTATCTAAAATTGATGTCCGTGTTAGGGCTGATTTAGATTTATCTGCTTTTCTACGTTCGTTTTTGATCGGAAACAAGCACGTGAATGGTTGATTTCAGCCATAAAGTTTGATAAAATTTCAGTAGTGGATAAGCAATTATTGTGAAATATTTCTGCATTTAGGCACAAGATTTCGCTTTCAATTTTTTCACTTGTAATGTATATATAACTCTTGGTTTCAATAACACTTTTTCATATGTTTGCCTCCTTTGTTCTCGCACGCTTCTAGTTGGTAATGTTAAACAGGGTTGCTTCCACTCATTTGCTATAAAAAAATGTTTTTCAGAATAATTAAATCATTAGATTTTATAATGATAATTAGTACTTTTAAGTTACAAAAACAAGTTTGTAAACTATTATACATAAAACCTGCCATTATTGCTTTCATTGCGTCACAATCAGCGATTTTACGATTCGTGAGTGCTCACTCTGAGTGAACGCGACGCACTGGAACCTAAATTGACAGGTTTTGTTGTGGAGTCAGCGAAACTAGGAACCAAATTTTATCAATTTATTCATGAAGAGAAAAGAAAATTATAAAATTCCTGCGGAAGAAACCTTGGGTATAAACAATACGATCCTACATGTTATGTTTTGACTTACTTTTAGTGTTTCTAGTCTCGTGCTACTCTCTCACAACAATTATAGCGTTCATGTGTCCTGGAGCTAACGATCTATGTAGGTATACATAATATGAGTGTTTTACCATATAGGTAGATTTAGATAGTAATCTAAATCCCGTTTTCAATCCATTGTTCAGCGCTGGGTGTGATGCACAGTGGTACAGCGTCGAAAAGGGGCACATGTGACTTAGTTTCCGACGGGGCGCAATCAACAGGTTTTATGTGTCAAATACAACCTCTGCTTGTATCATCAGCACCCATTGATTCCATAATTACGAAAAACATTTTTATAGCGAAGTGAGTGGAAGTAACCCTGATGTTAACAGAACAAAACTAGCTGGTTAATTTGCTTGCACATGAAAACAATATGAAGGAATTTATTTAGTCATAGAAAACGGAATACAATTGTACAACCAAATTAAATATTAATCAAATTAAGTAGAGGGTTTCGAAATCCATTCATGAATGGTTAAGTTGTGAGCGTTTAAAACCTAACACTAATTCATGACGCTCTCATTTTGCAATTTGTATTCGCACCCAATTATATTCCACAATGACGCCAGCACCTTATTTTAATCATCATCTCAAGAATGTAAGCCGTAAGCAAAGATTAGAGTGTTGCTTAGTGTTTTTAAAATTAGCATTGACACTAAACTGATAACGAATATTAAATATTAGAAATTTTTACTTCGCTGATTAGCAAATAAGCCGATTCGTGCTCACCTCACCACTTGGCGTGGATAGGCATCGAAAAAGAGGGAGGCAATTTTTGAAACCACCTGATCATTTGATTTCGGCAACTAGGTAGAAAGCCATTAAGGTGATTCCTTGAAGCGTCCAACAATGGCCGTCATGATAACTGATTTCTAGAGCACGAATCGCGGACACTGTTGCGATATTACTCATGAAATTGAAACTTCTTGTGTGCTACACTGCAGCAAACGTGAAGTTCCAGTTTCATTGATGTATGTTTTGTGAGAGCTGATTTTGTGCTCTTGAAACTTCGAGGTGGTAATGAGATTGATAAGAAATAAAGTTTCCACAGCGATCTACCTCAAGTTTAATGACATTAGGCCGAATGGATCGTCACTGTTGTCAGGGCTCCGACTCAGATTTTTCAAAACTATGACTGTGGACTCCGAATCTGGCCTGAAATTGTTAAGCAATAATGTTTGATTATTTACACTGATTTACACTATGGCCAATCAACTATAAGTCGGGTTATTTTTAATAGTTTGGAAAAAAATAGAAGATACTAAAAAGCAAAGCACACATGATCGGTTGGACACGGTGTGTGTTTGAGAAAATTTGCAAAAAAACTCAACGGAACTGAACGAGGCCTACGGTGCATTCGTAATGTGCAATTCGATAGAGCTTGCCAAACGCGTTCTGGGCTTATGTAGTTTTTGGGATTTGAATAGTCGGTACGGATGCGAAATCTTAGAATTTCTATAGTATATTTAGTTGAATATTTCGGGAGGAAACCCGAATTATTCAACTTGTCAACATTTATTTGGTTTCACCCTTTAAGTAATAAGCCATTTTTTGTCTGCTGTTTCGCGCGGCGTTCAGAACTCGCCCGGTTTTCGGAACTCAGTTTAGATATTTTATACTTAAACAGAATTACTGATTCAATCGCAGTACTACGCGAACGTACCCTTTGACTCGTTAAGACGTTTATTCTATTTTATCAAAATTTAATGTATTTTAAACTTTTCGCGGCTGTCGGATTTAACGTGGTCTACGGAGCTTACGAAACAATTCAATACTGATTCAATCGGATTACTACGCGGATGAATTGTTTGCTACGTTAATACGCTTTCACGTAACAGCATTTTATCTAAAACTAGGCTAGTCATTAGGCTAGTCCTTCTGTAGTATTTTCGAAAGATGAAACAAAATTTACTCAAATGGGTCAAGTTTTGAAAACTAAGCTGTCACGCAGCTCCAGCTTGATACCATAAAAAAAACAAAACAAATCCCATTCATTTAAAAAAATAGTGAAATTTTTTAATCATAAATCATATTCCAAATCTCCTTTTCCCTCTCCCGATCCAAACAATTGTCATCCACTAACCTCAAGAAGACCACGAGTAATCGGTCAAATTCTTTAATTTTAGATTTAAGACATTTATAATGTACATATAAAGAAAATGATAACTTGGCTCTGTAAAGTTTATTCGATGAAGCCTGTAAA